AGAACTCCCTGCCTATCAAACGCTTGGCGTCAAAGAGGGTATTTTCTGGATTTGAAGTCAACTGGTTTTTGGCGGCATCACCTATCAGACGTTCGTTTGACGTAGAGAATGCAACATAAGAAGGAGTAATTCGGTTTCCTTGGTCATTTGCGATTATTTCTACACGTCCATTTTTGAAAACACCAACGCTATCACCGAAGTCAGTAAAAACAATTGTAACCTTACCAAGAGTACGTTGTTCCCAAATCAATGCCTATGACGGTTCCATAATCCTCCTTCTTCGATGAATCAGATCTGCTGATCCCGAGTAGACAAGAAGCAAACACACAAAGAACCACGAGATGTCGCATGGTCATATCTAGCGAGGAGAATATGGAGGCACCAAGTTATATAGCGCAGATAATATGTGTGAGTTTATGATTGGTCCACATAATGCCTCGTCAGACAACGTCATTCACGTTAGTTCATTACAACAAACTGCATCATTTACCTCTACTGCCTACCCCTAAAAGAAAGAAGAGTTCAGTGATCTACTAATTATATGTAATAATTTCGTGGAATATTTCTGAAAAATTGCAATTTTACATTAAGGATCTTAAATTCCAGCTAATAGTAAACAGGTGAGTTAACAATCCTAGGAAGTATTTCGAAAAATATTGAAGGTGAACGATAGTTTTCTTGGCTTGCTTGATAAAACTGAAAAAAGGCAATTTTTCAAGGCTAATCTGACGATTACTGCTCGTCGTCGTAATTAAAGATATTTGCATAATTTTGACAGTGTGAGGGTCGATTCGGTTTTACCGATTAATGAAACGCACTCATATATTTGTCTAAAGGAATGAGAAAAAAACATACAATGAGAGGAAACGGATTTTTTGAAGGATCCAAACAAATCCTTCATCCACATTATCCTGGTAATAAGTATTCAATTATTCGCACTTAAGAAGTCATAAGTCGTTTAACAGTTCGGAATGGAACTGATGGATAAGAACGATTAAGTTGCGAAACTAGAAACTAACTTAGAAGATCGCTATAAGTTCTCAAAATTCGAGAAGGACTGAGAGTAGACAGAGGTCATCGAGGTACAGTAACATACAATTAACAAATAAGTTATTTTATATGACAAAGTGCTTCAAAGTCAGAGACCTGTGGGAGAGACGATAACCAGAACGTACGGCCCTCCAAACAATCACAAACAAGGGCTACACTTTTGTCCGATCTTGGATATTAGAAATTCCCTGCCATTTCCAAATGGCTGGTAGAAAAGCTAAAGTCGTGTGGAGGTGATCCGCATCAGCAAAGCTTGAAAGACACTTTTGAATTTGTCGAATGTATAGTAACGTTGATGAACGAAAGATTCTTTCCTTGGACGTATCATCACTTTTTACCAACATACACGCGGTAGAACCCATAAACTACTTCTTTGACTATATTCGGGACACGAACTACCAGATAGGTATACCTGCGAAAACCCTCGAAGAACAACTTGCGCAGTGCACATGAAATGTAAAATTTCTTTGCAATGGCCGGCTCTGCAGGAATTTAGACGTTGTGGTGATGGGCTCACCACTTGAGAATAACCGCGTGAGAATAACCGCGTGTTTCAAATTCGACCTCCGTTTTCGACCTTAAGGGAAG